CAGCAAAGCTGTGGGATCGATCGACTTGGGGAAGAACCAGCAGAAATTTTCTCTTCACAGAGCCATCACTGTCATTCACCATAAATTATAGTCAATTTTAACATTTTTCGTGGCACACAAAAAAGGTTAAATTTAAAAAAATTTGTGGCTCTACGACTTCACCTGACGTAAAATTTCAGATGCCCTGCGGAGATCTACTCAACCAGAGCACCCATAAGAATTCAGTTAACTGCGAAAAGCGAACGATGACAACATCCATTCCGATTTATACAGTCACATCTCTTCCAGAGAGAGTCGACACCGCAGTCATGAAGTAGAGTCGATTTTTCGAGCCCCTTCTCTCCCGCACCGCGCCTAATGTCGTCACCTTTTCTGGAACTGAATTGGGAGGAAGAGACTTGAGATAGAGATGAAGACAGATGGGCTCGAGAGCGTCGATACTCTCAATAAAATGCGTAATATTGCGGAGAAAGTTGCCCTTCTTTCACGAGAGACATCTGCTTTATTTAGTTTTAGACTCACGCTCCTATAACACATACGAGGTTTGATGAAAAAGTTCTAAGACTTAATTTTATACGACTCTGTGGTGACTCTTTCTGACTGCTGATGGTTATATCCTTTTAACTAGTCCTCTTCGGCATCTACACAAATTTTCCGGAGATTCTTCAGCCACTGGAAGCATTGCTGACACTCATCTTTTGGAGTCATCAACAGCGCTCGCGGCGCGTTCGTAATGCTGTTTTAAATGTTCTGAGATTTCCTTTCTTTTGCAATTTCAGCAGTTTCTGTCAACAGCGCTCGCGGCGCGTTCGTAATAATGTTTAAATGTTCTGAGATTTCCTTTCTTTTGCAATTTCAGCAGTTTCTGACCTACCCCGCAATCCCGTGCTTCATCAGCCATCCAATTCGTCGGGGTTTAGCTCCTAGTAATTTATTTTTGTTCCCTAAACTAAAGAATGAGCTGAAATGAAGGAGATTTTAGGCATTGAAAGCATAAACCGTTGACCTCTCGAGCGTTACTGAATAGCATCTCTTAAATGTCTTCCCTGCCCCTTTTTTTCCACCCGGATACGTGAAGCAGTTTTTTTTTCTTCCAATAGCTTATGATAATTTAAATCGGTTTTCTTCACCTTCCCAGGCAGATGAAAAGAAACGGTAGAGCCGCGTGGATTGCGCGTCCCCACATCCGCCGCAAAACGTACTTTTGATGCCAGGAGATGAAGTCCCCAAGAGAGACCTCAGTTCAGAGGACGGAAGTGGCTTGCACCCAAGTGTCAGTGTTCTGCTCCGCACGGAAGCGGCCGTGTCCGTTAAGCACATGCAAAAAAGTAAAATCCGTTCCCGAGTGGGTACAGGAGCGACGTTTTCACCTTCACGTTTCACAATTTCATCATCCTCAGCAAGGCCGTGGGATCGATCGACTCGAAGAAGAATTAGCAAAAATTTTCTCTTCCGAATGCCCGCACTCGCAACCACTATAAAATCATATTCAACCTACCATTTGCGGCACACGATGGCATCGCGAATTCTGATGCATATTTCTCGATGCCCAGGGGAGATGAACTCAACCAGAGCGTCTACAAGAACCCAAGTATTTCTATTAAGCAAGCCAACAAACACGCAATCTTCATGGCACAGTAACATCTCTTGCAGAGACAGTCGACACCAAAGTCATGAAGTAGAATCGAATTTAGGCCTGTTCTTCCGCACCGTACCTATCGTCGTCATGTTCTTCTGAAAATATATTATGTGGAACAGTCTCGATATGGAGGTAAAGATGGGTGAGCTCGGGAGCGTCGATAGTATCAGGGAATGGCGGAATATGATGGAGAAAATTGCCTTTCCTCCTCGAGAGACATCTACCGAAGGTTGAGCTAACTTCTGACTCCGGCTCCTATCGTATAGATGTCGCGACATGAAGTTTCAAGGACGAGCAACCTCTTCATGTCCGCCTGGAGTTCTCCCTACCCATCTCTTCCCCCTTTCGGGTAAGAAGAGGAGAGCCTTGCTGTGCTCAGTCACTCACGTCCCTCAAAAGCGGGAGGTGGAACGGTCTAGGCGTCTTCGCCGCTCATAAGTGAGCGGAGAGAGAAGTAGGGGAAGTGAAGAGCCCGAAAGCTTAGTCGAAAAGGAAGGAGGAAATGATGGAAGCACATCTCTAGATTCGGAACGGAATGGAATGCCAATCGAGAATGGGCGTTCTTTCCATTCCAAAGACACTGTGAATCGAGGAGTTGGGTCCATCGTCAGAGATGCTCCATGCTCCATGTCAGGCATGCTCCATGATTCGGCTTCCCTGAAAATCCAATGGAACAAGGCTTCGGACCGTTCCCTCCTCATTATATTTTAAATTCCATCATCTGTCAGATCGGAATGCAGAATGCAACTCGGACTCCCTATTCCAAGATTCACGTCTTCACCTTCTCCATCTGGCGATCAACACGCAGACAATGTGAGAGGAGCGGGACACCACACGGCATTTCGACGAACAAAGATAAAAGTCAAGGAAATCATGAAGGACGAAAATTGAAAGGAGACCACCAGACGACGCCGAACGACTCGTATGGACATACCCTGGCTCGGTTGCGTTTCTCGCCCTGAAACGCGTCAGACCCGAATAAGATAAAAGTCAAGGAAATCATGAAGGACGAAAATTGAAAGGAGACCACCAGACGACGCCGAACGACTCGTATGGACATACCCTGGCTCGGTTGCGTTTCTCGCCCTGAAACGCGTCAGACCCGAAAGAAGACTTTATTTGGCGCCCACCGTTTACAGAATTCTGATCGCTAGAATTTCTTACAGCTCTGGAGGCCATACTTTTTTTTCAGGGACGATACCTTATTTTTTCGACTAACGATACTGTCGGATTAGCAAAAATCTGCAAGAGAAAAAAAAATCATGGAGTCTTCCTGCAGAAAGTAAGAAACTGAAAAATGCATTTCTTGAATTAAAAAAATTGTACTCGAAAGAAATAAATGAACTGAAATTCAACAAAATCTGGAATTTCATGCGCAACACTGAACGGAAGAGCAGAAAAAAATACACTCCATGCCTCCCTTTAAATATTTCCACAGTTGCTGTCATTCGGACGGTTTCGCTCATGTCTCTCTCATCATACCGGCGCCCCTCTCTCCTACACTCTCCATGGCAAAAGAGTGAGAGAGAGTCCCCAAAAAAAATTCCTAGGAAACAAAAGGAAGAAACTACCTGGGTTACGCTTTACCGACAAGCAGCGTCTCTGCGATCGAGAGTTGTCGCCTCGGCCAATATGTGGATTCGCTCCTCGTCCTCCAGCCGACTGCATCCACACCGGACCCTCATCACATCGTTATTCCATCTGAAGGGTGAGTCAGCGGGCCGGAAGGGAGACGGATCGGCTCCGCAGCGGTGACGAATTCTTGAAAGCATGAAAGACCTCAGAGGAAGCTTCTGTGGGAACGCAAGTGCCATCTAGCGAGGGAGGACATAACTGAAATTCCCCTCAGCCGAACGACGCTTCGATGTTAGGAAGATTGAAAAGAATTGAGTCGTCAGAGGCATTAAGCCGCGTGGTGTCACGCGCAGAATAGTAACGGAATTCATAGATCGCCATTAACCGAATAGAAACACAATGGCTGCACGAAAATTGGAATGTCGGTGCTCTGCGGTGGTTTCCTCGATCAGAGCACCTGGAACAATTCAATTATTTACATTGGTCAAACGAGTACCGCTAAGAGACTTCATGACGCAGTTGATCTACTGCAGAGAAAGTCGGCACTGTTGTGGTGAAGTGAAGTCATTTTCAGGCCACTAATCTCCCGCAGTGCACCTATCCTCGTCACATTTTTGTGAAAATGAATTGGGGTGAAGAGTCTTGAGATAGAGATGAAGACAGATGGGCACGAGGGTGTCGATTCTCTGAACGATAGTCGTAATATTGCGGAGAAGTTCAACTTCTTTCACGAGAGACATCTACTGAAGACTGAGCTAGTTTCAGTCTCCTGCTCCTATCTTACAGATGTCTACGGCAGATATGCCGAGTCGGACGAGCAATCCCTTCACGTCCACCTGGGGTTTCCTCAAGCCTCTGCTTTTCTTTCTCCATTCTTCTCCTCTGAACGCCACGGGACAGCGATTGCAGGGAGTTTTCCCCCTCCACCTTGCCAGATCAGCAGATGCTGCGAGTATTCACTCGCTTCTCCTCATCTCCTTCACTTCTTGGGGACAGCGTGATCAAAAAGAAAGGAGGAAATCATCGGAGGGCAATCGATTCAGTACGGAGTGGAATGATAACAGAGCAAGGGCATGGAATATACATTATTTCGATTTCAATCGGACTGTGACTGGAGGAGATAGGTAATCAATCGAAGTTCATTAAATTGCATGCTCCGTGATTCCTGGTGGACTTGGCGTTATTCCTCCTCATTCCTAAAATGTTAATTGCATTTTGACTCATTTAGCAGATGGGGAAGCAGAACGAGACACGGACTCCCTATTCCTGCATTCATGTGTTCACCTTCTCCATCGTATTTTGGGTGTCCCACGGATCGACACCCAGACGGCGGGGAAAGCGAGAGGATCGGGTCACCTCAAAGGATTTCTTTAAAAATAATTATTTTAAAAATGAAGAGAAAGGGCAAAGGAGCCCCACTAGACGACGGAGAACGCTGGATGAAGAAAATCCCCGCTCTCCTCGACCGCATCCTGTCCAAAGACTCGCCGGATATATCATGGAATCAAAAATAGAGAGCCTCAAAGCGGAGAAGGAAACGGATGGGCTCGGTTGCGTCGCTCGTCGCTTTCAACAGCGTTACAAATAGAGGAAAACTCAATTCCGCGTTCTCTGTTCTCCGTATTCTGATATGTCCAATGCCATTTATCTCTACAGTCCATGCATGCTGCAGGTTTGGAGGCCTCTTCCATGATTTCTTCCTTCATTTTTGACCACACTGTCCCCGAGAAGTGAGCCAGACGAGGTGTGATTTCCTAGTACTAGCAGCCTATGCTGTTTTAAAAATATGGAAGTCACGAGCTCGGGTCGTTCCGAGAGGGAGAAGAATGGAGGAAGAGAAGCTCTGGCTCGGGGAAACCCCGATTGCACATGGTGCTCTTTTCACCTCGCGGGTCCACCGTCAGACACCGATCAGATAGAAGCGCGAGTGAGTCGATATGGCTCAACCTTCGATCGATATCGAAAGTGCAAGAATTATCGCATCAAGTCAAAAGGACATTTGAAAGACGATAGGCGAAATCAAGAGATGATGAGAAAAACGCATTCTCCCACCTTCAGAAATACACCTGTAACAAAGATGGGAAATCCAGATCTTTCCCGACTCGTCGCTAGATGTCTCTCATTGTCTCTCGGGAGACATTTCACACGTTTTGTGCGTTTCCAGAAAAACTAATTGCGACGTTATCTAATATGTTTCCATCTTCCCATGAATAATTTTCTGCTGGATTGGACGCCCGGGCGGGGAGACTTCGGATAGAATATTCTTCAACATTTGACGGAAAAGAATGCCGCGTATGTATCAATGTTCGATTCGTTGTCAAGTAGTCTCTCCTCTGATATTTCGTCTAGCAACCAGGAAGTGCATGACTCATTTTTTCAAAACTATTTATTTGGAGTGCCTTAAACCTCTCACGTTTCACCTTGTGGAAGTGTAGGTCTTTGGGGCACCGAAAACACGTGAGATCAGGTGAACGATGTGTCTCAATCAAGATCGTTTCGTCTATGGTTCCGCATTCGATACTAACTGATATATTTTGCATTTCAAAGCATACGAACGTAGATCTACTTTCGTTGGAGTTCATGTCTTTCGTTAAGAGCACTGAAGCACTAAAGAGAGCAATAGTTGTTGGTGAGGAGAACATGGTGAACGATGTGTCTTTTTTGAATGATGTACCTTGACGTTGCCCGAAACCTCTTCCATTCGCCAGTACCTAAGTCGGAAGGTGGACGAAAGTATGAAACAGCAGATGGAAACTGGAATTCACGGAAATTGGATCCAGCTCTCGTTCCATATTCGATACAAAACGAATATCTACATGTTCGAAAGCGTGCGAAAATGGCACTTTCTCCATCCGAGGTTCATTACGTCTACAGCGTAGACAGAATCTCAACGGATGAAGATAATCATCGATAAGGGATGAGCCCCCTGCACGATTCACAACGCTTGAATAAATCGCACAAGAAAATATTTTGATGTCATTAATTTGGTCGTAGTCCCTTCCTTACAGAATCGGGTTGATTTCGACGAATTCCTCCTTCAATTTTTCCCACGCTCTGCCCTAGAAACGAAAGAGATGCAAAGAGAGACTGAGGAAAATCGCTGCCTGCGCTGTTCTGGCAAGATGGAGCGCGAGAGTTGTCGCCACGGCCAAAAAGATGGATTCGCTTGGTGTCCTCCACTCTCATGGAGCCTCATCGCCTCGCCATTCAATCTTAGGGTTAGTCTGAGGGCAGGGAGGGAGACGGTTCAACTCCGCAGCGTTTCCAAATTCTTGAATGCATGAAAGGTTGTAGCTTTGCCGAGGGAATATGGGCCATCTAGCAGGGGGGAACATAGCTCGGAAATTAACCCTAATCGAACGACGCTTCGAGGCTTAAAGATTTGAAAATAATTTAGCGTCGAAGGCGGGAAATCGCGTGATGTCATGCGCAGAACAGAACGATGGATTCTATTGAAACGTGATTCTCTTGTACAAAGGGATTAAACCAAGACGAAGGGCATCTGAGGATATCCAAATCCTGCACGAAATTGATTATATCCATGATGATGGCACTAACTTTGCTTTGGGCAAATTTTTCACAATTTTTTTGTATTTTCTTAGTATTTTTTAGGTATGTTTTTCAGTATTTTTAAATAATTTTTTTGCACATGAATCTCGGAGTTTGGTAATCCTTTGCCCCTGATTCTGGGTCTTCTCCAATTTAATTTGAACAACCTTGTGAACCTAGTCAAAAGCAAAATGAGGACAGGGTCCACCTTCGCATGCTTTCAATCGTGTAGGAATTAATTGTGCATAGAATGCGGAACATAGAAACGGAATGGACTTCCATGCGTCACGCCGCCTCACCATGCCTCGCCTTGTGGCCGTGAGGAACCTCAGGCCTGGACGAAATTTCCGTTTCCCCATCTCTGTTCCTCGTATTCCCATCATGCTATCACCTTCATCTCTGCTTTCCATGGGTCTATTTTTTGGCGAAATATACATTTCGAGAATGACGATACGGCTTGCTTTGCATAAAGAATCTGCAGAAAAAAAAAATCCATAATCGACGGTGAGACAGAAATCAAAGCAAGCATTCCTCGAATTAATGCAGCAGTACTCCAAATATATCCACGGTGCTTCAGGTGATGATTGAATGCGTGAAATGAGTGTGCCGAGTGAAATCCTCATGAACCTAATAAAGGGCGAAATTCGGACGGGGTCCTCCTTTTAGTGGTTTCTCACGCAAAAGACAATTTAGTGTTGAATGCGGAACTGGAGATGGAATGGCCTTTCATGGGTGGCATCAATTTTCTTCTCTCATGATTTCGGCACCGAAAGACCAACACTTCCACAAGGGGAACGTGAGAATTTTAGGGCCTTACAAATAAACATAGTGCTACGTGGCAACGAACCAAGCATTGAACCATTGACGGCAACGATTTCCATCCACTTCTCAAAAGCATTCGTTCCAGAGTCTCACTGTACTGGCGTCGAATCTGGCTGAAAATTCATCATCGAGAGATGTAAACGGATCAGATCCCACGCGCAAATCATCACCTTAATGCGCATGAGACATAGGTAATATCTCCTGGAAAGCGATGAGAGACATCTAGGGAAGAGCCAGAAAAGGTCAGGATTCGTCCTCTGATGGGACAAAATATCATGTTACAGGTGTGCTTAGGATGGTAAAAAAAAAGGATTCGCTTGTTGCCTTCCCCACATCTGCATCCCCACCCGAGCCTCAACGACTCGGTATCGCAACTGAAGCATGCGTCCAAGGCGCGGAAAGAAGAGGATGAGTTCCGGAGCATTTCCAAATCGTGGAATGCATGCATGACCTCAGACGATGCCTCGCAAGGAGCGCAACTGCCGTGTAACGAGGACGAACAAAGCTCGGAATACACCGTAATCCGATGACGCTTAAAGGCTCACGACATTGAAAATAATTTTGCTGTCAGAGGTGACAGGCATCCTGGATCCATGCGCAGAACAATGACGTCGTGGATTTCCTTTCACTCCCTGCGGAATGCCAGCGTTCGGAACGGATAGCCTTTGACAGAAATAAGGCGATGAGGAATGCGGTCGAACGACTGTCGCAGCGAGAAGTTGATGAGAAGCGAAGGAGTCCGTCCATGAATTACTTCGACTTGAAAATAGTTCCATATCATCCGTAATTAAGTTATACTCCCCCCCTAAGTTAAAGCCTTCATTTCCTACATCAATAAGTCCAAGATCGCTTGCTAAATGGGGAAAAGGTCAATTCACTGCCTTACTATCACAAATAGAAATTGAAATTGGATTATATCTCCTGAGGATCTCTCAGTTCTGAAAGAAAGTGAGTGGAAAATTTGTTAAAGACATTACCAACTTCTTGAGCAATTTTTTTAATCAAATGTGAAACGAGGTACTAGCTCGTGCGCAATCCTAATTTGTGGTTGTCTTGTGATCCACTCCATTCTTGTCTACTTCTCAAAATGCACAAAGGAAAAGAAAATCCGCACCTTTGTGTGTTTTCGAGTGCGTAGGAATATTTTAAACTTTTCATTGCGGAATGAGGCACACTTTAAATCTCATTCGCTGGGATTGGGAGCATCTCCCCACATTTTCAATTATTCCATGCCCTATTGACCAACACTCCGTCAATGCCGGAAATGAGAGGTAACGGGCACGACCAAATATATATAGGTGCAACTCATGATCCTCAAGACTCGATGGAAAACCGTTTCATCAGAGACTGCTTCACAGATGGGGAAGGAATGACCAATAGGCGGTATCTCGTTTTGGTCTATTCTCGACGGGATCCAATCGAGACACTCACATTACCGTGTGCCGAATCGTGCCGATGATTCCTTACGGGGAGGTAGAAACGGACGATGAACTCAGGGAAGCATGATTCGCTTCGAAACGCACGAGACACCGAGAATGTCTCAGGGAGACATCGAGAGACATCTAGTGGCGAGCCTGGAAGGGTTCGGCTTTCCCCTCTTAACTCACGGTGAATGCTTCTTTTCCTCGGTATACGGGTACTGCGAATGGAGGAGTTGAGAATTTAATTTTTAACCTTCAAGCAAGCAGCAACGAAAGATCCCTTCTCGCTCTGGAATTCAAAACCGTATTATAATTCACAATCACCATCATAATGCAGAACGATGTATGAATACCCTATGCACGTATTCACGCCTTCGACTTTTTCATTCGGCAGCGCCTATTACCTTTCTTCAATCCCATCCCGAGTGATTCCTCCGGTTCCGTCCCAAAGTGTTTCTAGAGACAGTGTCAAAATTTCGCTAGATTCAAGTTTTGTTCAACCTTCGTATTGGCGTCTAATTCTTGTTTTATTTTAATGTATGATACATTTTTGTGCCGAGTCCATGAATTATGCTGAGAATGGAGCGGTGGTCAGTAGCGATTGATCGATGTGATATGAGATGCATATAAGTCATCCGGACATCCCTAAATTTTCCAGACTGGCGCTTCCTGGAGGCATGCCCTCCGCTGACCTATTCGAGGCGGATGAAGGAACTTCAAATTGGTTTAACGTTCCGCGTCCGCTCTAAAACGATTCATGAAACGCGAAATAGACCTCAGATCGGTCTTACATCATACATCCTCAACGAGACGAAAAATCACGAATGACGACGACTCAATGATGTACCAACCGGGTAATGGAGAGCGATCGAGGGCAGGAGTCACTATTGTTCTCAACCGTATTTCCCAAAATCCTAACCGGATCAGTCATTGGATCCGGCCTGGGAGTCTTGTAAGGAATCACGGAAACACATTGCATGCTTATTGTGGAATAGGGGAAGGATTCAATTTCCGCGAATTAACCGTTTCGCCTACTTTTTAATTTTCCTTGCCCTACCGATCAACACCCCGGCATCAACGCAAGTGAGAGGTTTACGTCACTCCTAAATATATCATAATATTATGATATGCAGACGGGGTCTTACATACCAATTTAGAAATTGCTTTGAGAGACCACTTGCCGAAACTGGAGGTCTGACCCGATGGCCACAAAGCTTTTACTGACAGGACTCACAAATTTTTAGTTATTTCGAGCTATAATGCGTCTCGGAAGTTGGTAATCCTTTGCCCTTGATTCTGTCGCTTCCCCACTCCATTTTTGACAACTTTGTAAACCTAATCAACTGCGAAATTAGTGCGTGTGCTTTCACATGTATAATATTTCATTTAGTATCGAAGGCAGAACGAGGGACGGAATTGGCTTCCATGTTTTACATCGCCTACCTACTCTTTTGTGTGCTTGAAGTCCTTAAACTTACATTTCCACAAGGTGGAACGTGAAAGTCTTTGAGCACCCCAAATAGAGATTAAATGAATCAGATCGGTCAGACGTTGCCCGGTGCCACGTCTTAGCTGAGACTACTTGACGACGAATCGAGCTACGATCATTGGGCGGTATGGCGTTCTATCCCCTTATTATGGGCATTCAATCCAGAGTCTCATCGACCGGGCGTCAAATCCGACAGGAAATTCTTCATGGGCAGATGAAAACGGATTCGAACACTTTCACTAAATTTCGTCTCGAAACGCATGAGACCAGGGGGATGTCTCGCGAGAGACGATGAGAGACATCTAGCGAATAATGAGGAAGGGTTCGGTCCTTAATACATTCACCTATCGTCATCCACGAGTTTTGCGTTGGGATGATTCTCGCACTACAGACATCCATGGAAGATTGTGCTATTACCACACCTACGCTCCTATCGGGTACACTGCTGACAGTGTCACGCCAGGTGGCTTTTCTACATACCCCCTTACAGATGAAACCAGCTGGCGCCCGGCAGCATATCAGCACATATTTGCAGTTGAATTCCCTGGGGAATGTGTGAATGTGTCTGCGATTGGCCTAACGTTATAGTCGAACAGTCAAGGAAATGGAGAGGAGGGGAATTTGTAAATCTTCCACTGAAAACTGTAAAAATGGACTTATCGCCTTCTGTCTTACCACCACGGAATTGGCTCCAAGACTAAACAAATTTGAGTTTCTTTTGAAAGAAAAAAAAGAGGCATTGACGTGATCTGAAGGCAGATTGTTGGTTAAGCCTAAGCCTAACGGTAGTGAGTGCCGTCGAGAAGGTGGAGAGAGGGGTTGCAGAGAGGACCAATCAAAATTGGTTTTCACCTTACTTCATGCTACCGTGGACCGACTGGGACGATGACCGGAGCACCGAGCGAGTGCAAAAAGGGACACGACCGTATAAATAACGGCATAAGAGCTCTGATGGCTTCGACGACAGGTCAGACGTTCGCTTGGTTGCAGTGCGCTTCACTACTCAACATCACGTGATCATGACCCGGCCTATGATCGGCTGCACGATTTCCACGACTTTATCAGTAAGGGTGCATGTAGAATAATCCGCCGGGTGAGGAGGATGAGAAGAGCGACCATGACCTTCTCCTTTCATTTCCTCTCGGAAAGACACGAGCTGGTGACTGCACGCGTTTTCCCTCCGACCTTCCTCGAATAACAGGGGCAGCAAGCATGACTAAATTTCTCCTCACCTCGCTCACATCCTTTTCGCAATGCGGTCATCGGTAGAGATCGGAGAGACCTCCGAGAATCTGTAGGGTTTCATACCCGAGCGAGGGCATCAAACGCCTCGCCCGTAGCACTGAGAAGTGCCAGAGGAAATGTATCATTCGTGTTCTGTTTTGTTCGTATTCTCATCAGTGCAATGGTTTTTATCTCTGCAGTTACGTGTTTTTCTTTTGGTGAAGATAAATTTCATCGAGAATAATCTTTACTAGCGTAATAAATCAGCAGAAGGAAAAATGAATTCATCATTGCAGGTTCCTGCAGAAACCAAAGCTTGCATTCCTTGAATTAAAGCATTAATACTCCAAATATATCGATGAAAAGGAAACTCAGCTGATCTCATCGAACTATTTCAATTCGAAGAGTTCATGTAACAACATAAAAACAGGATAATATTTGCTTGGTATATTATTTCCGCAGCAGTGACGATTCGGACGGCTTCGCGCAATTACTGGGAAAATTCATGTGCCCCTCTGACTGACACTCTCTCGAGCGAAAGAGTGAGAAGGACACCCGTAAGAATTCCTAAATGAAAAAGCGACTGAAGACCTTGCCATATGTCAGGGTCCAGCCCTACCTCTGCGGTCGAGATTTTTCGTCTCGACCAAAAAGAGAGGATTCGCTCGTTATCGTCCACTCTCCTGCATCGGCACCAGAGCCTCATCGCCGAGTCGTTGAATCTCGAGGATCGGTGTGAGACCCGGGAGGGAGACGGATGAGTTGCGAAGCGTTCTCCGAATTCTTCAACGCATCTTGGACTTCGGACCAAGTTTTGCTCGCGACGCAAGGTACATCTAGCGGCGGCGATCGAAGCTCGGAATTCCTCCCAAGAAAAAGACGCTTCAAAGCTAAGAACTATCATCAAGACAATGTCATTTTATGTAGTTTTAATTTATTACGTAATTACAAATTTTTCGTAAACATGCTGCTTGGGTAGCATTCGAGGTCTTTCCGGTCGTCGAACTTTTTCTCTTCGAGGCGGTTCTGCAAAGCGCGGAAAAGGTCCGACGGAGCAAGGTCCGGGGTGTGCGACGGGTGCAGCAGAATCTCCCATCCGAGGGCGATTGGTTTGAGCCGGGTCATCTTTGCGGTATACGGCCCGGCATCGTCGTGGAAGAACGGCATTTCGTCGCATCCTGGCCGAGCCGGTGAGAGTTTCTAGCTCGATCTCTCCAGTTGGTCGCAGTGATGGCGGTGTTGGGAGGTGGGAGCTCGAACATCACGACACCTTTCGCGTCCCACCGCCTTGCGGTGGTGCAGAACACCTTTCGGCTCCGGCTGCGGCTCATCTTCGGCGTCTACCCGCTGACGCTTGCGGGTATGGTCCTTGTACATCACCCACTTCTCGTCCCCGTGACGACGTCGTCGAGCCGGTCGAAGCGCCGTCGGCGGGAAAGAAGCGCACAGATGTAGGAACGCTGGTCGTGGTCCTGCATCGAAGCATGGGGTATCCAACACCCGAGTTTCGAGACATTCCCGATCGTGGACAGGCGGTGTTCGATGGTGGAGTGGGAGCACTCGAGTACGGCGGTCACGTCACGAGATTTCATGCGGGCATCGGCTTCCACGAGTTGTAGTAGCGACCCATCATCCAACTCCGATGGACTTCCTCGACTTGTCTTCGACTTTATTCGCTGGGTGCATCAAGTTGGAGACATCTGACGGCAGGAAGCATAAAAGTGAGCTGGGGAAAGTCAAGAGCGCAAGCTTGAATGCGTTTCTTAATGAAACTGTTTTTACTACGAAATTGCTTCATTTTTTTGCCAGAGGGATTTCCTAAGGCCAAGAATGATTATATAGTAAGTAATGGATAGGCTGAAGTTTCTATTTGGAGCATCCAGACAGCCTGAAAGGCCTGTTATGAAGTTTCTTTCACTCTAGGCCTTCGCTTTCCATGGGCCTATGAAAATCAAATTTGCCATTTGCTGTCACAGGATAAATAGCCAACATTAACCCTTGACCTGTTACGTTTTATCATGAGGTCAGGGCCGGATTAAGGGGGGGGGGGGCAAAGGGGGCTGTTGCCCCGGGCCATCGAAGGAAATGAAAAATGTTAAGTATTTGCGTAAAGTGGAAAGTGGGGGGGGGGGGGGGGTCCTAGAGTGAAAGAAACTTCATAACAGGCCTTTCAGGCTGTCTGGATGCTCCAAATAGAAACTTCAGCCTATCCATTACTTACTATATAATCATTCTTGGCCTTAGGAAATCCCTCTGGCAAAAAAAGCTAGCAGGACTTAAGGGAATACAGAGGCAATGGGAGTCAAAACTTCAAGTTTAAAACAGTTTCCCGTTGTAGTGAATTCTATCAGGAACTGGAAGATATTAATAATATTCCACTCATATCATGCACATGTACCTGACTGATGCTCATGATTCCATGAAAATCATTACATTGGTGAGTGGCTTTGAGGAAAACCTGCACCTCCTCTGAAGGTGAAATTTGATTAAGGATTGAATCACCTTTTTGCACATCCCTGAACTCTGTCGCCTTTATAACATGTTTCACTTTGACTAGAAGCTCCCTTCATCAATGTCATGGCTCTCAAGTTTTGAGAATAAATTGGGAGGAGCCCTACGTGAAGAAGAATTGTACAATTCTGTGAAGACATGGCTTTGTTCCATTCACCTTCTTATGTGCGACTCCCCCCAGTCATGGACGGCGCCATATTTAAAACGCGCCATCTAGTGTTTGTGCACCCAGCAAATGGTTTCCGGACTCGAACCGAGCGAAACAATTGAAGCAGCATATCCTCACTGATGACTCCTTCCCCAAACGCCCGGCACAGACGGAGATGGGCGTCGGCTTCCTGCTCTCCCAGACGGAACTCATAGAGGAGGCAGTTGCGGAGGTGGTCACGGTCAAGGTCGAACTTCTGGCTCGTACTTGGCGGTTAGGGATCGAAAATACACTGAACCTGCAGGCAAGAAGGGAGACTATATATAGACGAAGGGGGAAAATTCGAGAAAATTCGTGAGGCTTCCTAATGAGAAAAGACGTAAACTACGAGAATATTCCCGCCCACCTTATAGCCGAATGTTCCACCGCTGGAAAACAAAACTGAACAGATTTTTTGTCCTTGCCTTGATTATATGCTTCAAGGCATACAATACGAGTCAGAAAGGGAAGAGGCAGACTTGGATCGAAGCCAGACAGGCACGAACGAGCGACTGTTACTGCTAAGCGATGATGTCATGGACTTTGCCTGACTGATGACTGATGCCAAGGAGAACTTCCTGGACTTCCTGAACGAGTCATGTAGAGTCCTCCTCGGGTGTTTTTTAAAAATTCGCTTTCGACAAACTTTTCATTCTTTGTAGCCCTTTTGAATTGGATAGATGGCGCAGAAAATGTTACATTAGCGAATCGAGATTTATTTCCAAGATTTTACAACGGTTGCGCGATGGCGATGCGAAGTTCCCTTGTCTTAGACAGACTTTTGCCTGAAATTCAACCAGAAGAGCACTCTTAATGCTAGTGATTCATTTGTATATGAGACAGGAAGAAGGAGTTGCCATGATTATTTCTCAGTAGCCTGAGAAGTTCTGTGTCTATGTGACTTGTGGTTTCAGCTGGGCTCCACTTGAGACACGAGGAATCGACCTGTGATAGGCAAACATTTCGTCGGTGCATTTAGAATTCCATAAATCCGGTGAGTCTCGTGTGTTTCACAAGTTGAAATGAAGCCGATTTAGACTTCCACGTTTGAAGAGAGTTGATTCGTTTAACGTTAGATATTAACTTTCGAAACACTTCGTATCCGTGTGGGAACTGTTTCATTGTAAGCTTACATTCACGTGTCTGAAAAAAGATCAGTCAATCGGTGAATTGGGTAGGGCAACGCAGCCAATCCGACACGTACCCTAGAAAAGGTTCAAATAGTGGACCGGTTCAGCCGGCTTTTGTCCCTGTGGCATGAGATATCTCTTGGCACAGAGAGGTGTCACCCACCTCCTTCGCCATCGACGCGTCTCTGTTAGCCTTACTAAGGCGAGCGATGTCCTGCTGTAGATGTGGAATAAGATAAGAAACTTGAGTATTTCTCCTCATCAACTGAATTAGGAGACATTACCGCTGAAATGCACCAGAAATTGCTGCTTGAATACAAGGCACGATTGGAAAAAGTGCTTAAAATCGACGGGGAACACGTTGAAGGTCATAGCTTGTAATTGGTGAATTTGTTTTGGCTGAAACTTTGGCACAATAAATGCTATACAGACATCAATATATTGTGAAAATTTTCTTTAGCTTGGTCAAGTAGGAAGAATTTTATGCACGATTAAAATCGTCCGCGTTAAATGGCGCACCCTGCATATATAAGTGCATGGGCGACTGTACGTCCGCAGTGCCATGTGCGCATGCGCGGCGCCGAGCAGCTCGCTGTCGGTCTCGTCTTCTCTAGACTCGCTCCTTCCCACCGGCAATTCGACACCTCAGTTCAATAAGGTTCTATCTGACAGGTGTCATGACGAAAGAAAAACCATAGTGGAACTGTGAAGCGATCTCAGATCCTTCTATTTGGCAGAATAACAACGTTTCCACTACACTAGAGAAATGCTTAATTGCTCTTTCTTAAAGTCCGTTGTGTCCACCGTCACACCCTCAGCGTTCCCTATCTTCCTCTTCAGGGCGTCAATTCCTCATTGGAGATCAGTGGCCGAGAAAGGAACGGTGAAAAATGTTTTCGTCGGTTCTCGCTTCCGGTGCTTTGAGTGCATCGTCTGCGGTGGCGTCCTCCAGCAACTCTTCGTCCTTTTCGAGCGGCGGTAACTGCATCAAGCATGAAGAATTCGATTATGTGGTTCGCGAGGCTGAGGTGTATCTCTTCACCCGTCCTGTGAATGCCGCTCCGAAAGCAGAATCTCCCGAGTATCGTCACTGGGCTTTGGTGTTTCACTTTCTTCGAGGAGACCGATGAAGGTCGTTAACTTTCAACAGTGAGCTTTAAACCATTACATGATGAGGCCCATAAAGGATTCTCGTCTCAATGCCGTTTTCTAGTCATGATTAAACATCCCTCATTAGTTTAATTTGACATCGTGGCTTCAATGGACCAGGTGATACTTTCATTCTGATAACAGGTTTCGACGACGGAGTTGAACTGAATGGATTCTGCAGCAATGAGCGACCAAGACAAGAAGGAAAATATTTTCTTCTGGGAAGAGTTAATACCTCTCCCGCGAAGCTGAGAGAAATTGCCATGGAGAATCCATGCAACGGGAAGCCCTATCTGGCAGCATTGCACAACTGCCAAGATTGGGTCATCAATATGGCCCGGAGCCTCTCCGCCACCATTTGGCAAATGTTGCGGGAAAAAGTGAACACTCTAAAGGAAGCTCATCCGATCTTTGCGCGTGTTGCCGGAGCGTCAAGTTCGTCGATGAACACGTTCTCTTCTTCTTCTCGTTCTTCTTCTCTCTCTTCGTCCTCTAGTTAAAAATGCAGTTACGTTTTGATATCTTAAGCATGTAATTGCTCATAGTACCCCTATCGCTCTTGAATCGCTCCTGAATTCATGAAATTGTAACGAAATATTTTACGCTGAATGCTGAATGATGCTTGCTTCACGTGTGATGCTAGCATAAGACGGACTGCGGCATAAACAACAGCAGATGACGAGATTTTAAAGTGATGATTCGATTTAAAAATATATCGAGTGGTATTAATGGCAAACTTTTAATCCAAAACATTTTCTCCTGTTACAGAGGAAAATATATATTTCGATCGTAGCTGACTTGGATTTGTCAAGTCGGATATGTGCAATTTTTCCCCAGATGGCTAGATTTCCTTCCCATTGGCCGTAAAGCACATCTCTTTTTCATAGCCAAGGTTCCTCGGGGTAACGTCACTTGAATTATATACTTTTGAAGCAGGATACCTCGAGCCTTCTTGCTTATATGGTAATAGCATATTGTGGACTACATCCAATATGAATTGTGAACCGTTTCTCATTAGACCTTCAATTGCTTATAGGAGGTGAGGAGCTTCAACTTGAAGCAGTGAAAAGATCGGACTCGTGAGAAAGCCACATATCTGAACACTGGCTTGGGTCGGAAAATCCCTTTTCTGTCGAAGGCTTCACACTTTGCTTCTTTGCTGAAAGCCATCCGAATTGGTAACTGACGGCGTTTCAGAATTTATAGGTTCGTGTCAGAAAGAGCCAGATATATCCTTGGTATAAGGATTACGATATCGCTTCGCATCTCCAGATAACATTTCGCATCGATGATGTCGACCATCAGGCCACGGACGATTAAGCACTTTTCCATGCATTGTCCTTGTTTTGTGTTGAGGGTGCGAAGGAGCAAGATGACGGCACTAAATTTTAATTTTAATTAAGGAGGTGACGTTCCAGATGGGTCAGGCTGTTGAGAAACTCTACTGGATAATTGTTTTTCTTCTTGGGATCATCACGTACGACCGAGTGGATACTGACACAACTGTCTTGGATTCCCCAGCTACTCGTGTTAGGACTTCTTCGTTCAATTAATGTGCCTCTAAATTGTCGGGGCAAATAACGGCCTCGTTTTATATTGAATGAAGGTATTCAGGAGCGATGTATTTGCCATAGACATTGTTTATGATGTCATTAACCACGCATCGTTGATGTAGCGCAACTGCGTATTCGGAGATCTCATTCAAAATCGGGCGGCGGCTATCTCCGAGAGACAACCTCGATGTTGAGAACTCTTTCTGCATCTATTCCGCCTTTGTGTTCACTGATCGATTCAGGATCTTGAATAGTGGCCAAAGAGAGCTAAATTTTACTCAAGCAACATGTATGGCGCACTAATTGCCTAGGCGAAGGACGCGAAGAACTCGTCTAACGTCTTGTCTAAAGCATCCTGTCGAGGGCGTTGATGGCGTAGGAAGGAGCCATGTGTGTTTCATGTCATTTGAAGAACCTGGAAGACGGCAATCCATTTGTTTTCCTTGCCTTGGGGACGGACATTGCAAGATGAATTTTCGACAATCGGCACTGGAAATTTAAAACGGAAATGGGCTGTTTTTACTCCCTCCAGCAAAGTTGCCGCTGTTCCAGTCTAAGGAAAAGGCAAACGATTTCTCCTTCTCCCCTCACGACGTGGATTAGCGCATTGCACAGGAAGGTATTTCCTGTTCCACCGGGTCCGTTGTGTAGGAACACCTTTATGAACCACTCGGGTTATTTTGTCTCATGCTGTCGAGGATGACGTTCACTTCTGCACGTTGCTCTTAATTACATGTGGCATACATTCGTTTTCCTATTTTTCTTTCTACAGCAACGTCGTAACCAAATGTGTCACGGGTAATGTTATACTTTGGCTCAGGGAGTTGGAAAGATGAACATTAGAGCAAACAATGAATTCCACCCAATATTAGACGTGAACTTGAAAGTTGCTTCAGATTTAAGTTTGGAATGGGAGGGAGAGGGGGAGAGAGAAGACTAACTTGGGCAAGTAGGCATCCCTGCAAATTAGGAAATTTATCATGTTTCATTCACATGCCACTCAGGCCCTATGTGATGTATTCTCATTCCAACCACGACTGCACTCCCTGGCCAGCATGGGCATCTCTCTCTCGGACATCACGTAGGTCACACCGAGCCGGGGCTCGTGCCAATTGAAGTCCCGCGCTCCACTGTACTTCATGTTGATTTTGGGGAGGCAAAGCCCTGGTTCAGCTCCCAGGACTGGCATTATATGACATTTCACATGCATAGATGGCAATGCACTGTGCTAGGGGGCCTTTAATCCTAAGAACGTAGGAGCCAATACTCGTAATACAAAAATGACGCGTCTCAACAGGGTTTCGAACCGTGGTCCCTGTTACGGGAGCCCGACGCGCTTCCACCGAGATACTAACTTAGTCCCCACTCCGAACTTCCAAGTGGTTCCAACATGCAGCATTACATATTCGTTGATATCCCCTCTTTTGACAAAATATGAATGAAAAAATTCCTGTGCAGTGTTTAGTTTTTATTCACTAACAATTATTGATAAGCGTTGGGTCTACAATTACTCTAGGTATGGTACTACCAGTTTATATTTTGTTCTATAGTGGAGTAACCATAGTCATTTGTTTGTTGTAAGAAGGTGAAGGGTGAGAAAGTCAACTAATTATGGGGAATGATAGGTCAGATTGGATTAGAAAGGGGCTGGAGCCAAAGAATGCGATTATTTTAAAACCAACATGACCCATAATTCTCCCAAAATATTGATTTTCCCACTCATTTTGCCCACACATGAAAGGATTATGACACACTTGGTTTTTGTATATTGCTTCTTCTCTGAGGTTAACTATATTGTGGTTCGGGAATGCCTAAAAGAGGGAATGAAACGTTAGAGTATTGAACCCCAAATTGCTGAATCCTCCGAAGTGAAAATGTTTGGGATGTTTGGGGGGGGACTCGGAAGTTTCATCTCTTTCATCTCCACTGACAAGAACAGACAAAAAAATGAAGAATTCGATAATGTGGTTCGCGAGGCTGAGGTGTATCTTTTCACTCGTCCTGTGGATGCCCTTCCGAATGCAGAATCTCCCATGCTTCATCACTGGGCCTTCGTGTTTCATTTTCTTCGAGGGAACCGATGGATCACTTATGAAGGTTGGTCAGAGGTCTACATCAAATTAGATGGCGGATAACCGATTCCTGATACAATTAATTTTTCTAACATCATGATGTTGGCATTATGTGTTTAAGTTGGCATCGGAATTTCAATGGAGTGAGTGATGATGTCATTTTGCTGGCAGGTTTCGCAGAGGAGGGCGAACTGAGATGGCATTGTATCAATGAGCAACCAAGAGCAGAAGGAAAATATTTTTCTCTGGGAAAAGTTAATACTTCTCCCGCGCAGCTGATGGACATCGCCATCAACAATCCTTGCAATGGGAAGCCCTATCGGGCCATATCATATAATTGTCAAGATTGGGTTAAGAACATGGCCCGGAGCCTCTCCTCAGCCATCTACCAAAAGTTGCAGGAAGGAGTGACATCATTAAGTGAAGTCAGTGCACCATTTGGGACGGTTCTTGGAGTCACGGCACTTCCTTTCTTTTCTCCCTTTAACTCGTTTAAATCTTTTTAAGAATGTGGAGTTACTGCTTAAGGTGTTGTGGCCGTAATTGCTCAGTGTGCTCAAGCGCTCCTGAATTCATGAAATTGTAAATGAATAGCTCATGATGAATGCTGAATTGATTAATTCGAAAAATACTTTTCTTCACTTGTGATTTTATTATATGAAGTATTCCGGTAGCAACAACTCCTTTTGACAGGATTTCAGAAGAGCGACTAGTATTTTTAAATATCGGGTGGTGCTAATAGCAAAGTTCTTTTCATCAAAAACCTTTTCTAATGATAAGGAGGAAAAGATTGATTTGATCATGGCTGAATCGGATTTGTCAAATCGGAAATGCGCAATCCTCTCCCCAGGTGGCTAGTTTTTTCCCCCAATCGCCCACGAATCAACTCATTTTTTAACGAAAGCGCGTCGTTGCTTGAAGTAACCGCTTGAATTAGATGCATTTTTGGACCAGGATTTTGTGATTATTCAAGTATACAGTTTGTTGCTGGAAGCTTACAAAATCTTTGGATTTGAATGACTCAGTCGACCATGGAAGTGCTTTCGAGGAAGTGACTAAATTGCTGTGAAAGAAGTTGCCACTCATCCAAGGAAAATACAGTTGTGTCGATGGATGAAATGGCGATGGGAGCGGCACGAAAATGGTCGGTTGAGGGGTAAAATTGGAACATTCCATTTAGATGGTCAACTGTCTCCGATTAGTTATATATTAATCGGCAAGTGTCTGTCCGTCTGAAACGTTTTGCGTAGGGCGAAGGCTTCCATCCGAGATTTTCAACTTTCAACAACTCTCGCTCATTTTGACATAGTGATCCCGCCTC